CTGTCTTGATTTGTTTTCTGATCGGCTCACATCTTGATGCAACTTTATTAATCCGTCTATGACTAATGCAGTTTTTCAAATGTCTTCACGTATGCTGTTGTATCGTGACGAATTAGGGTTGGTGGATCGAGAGTGCTCAAGACGGGTTGGATAGGTGCAGTGACCGAAGACGGGTTGGATAAGTGCCAGGACCGGGCGTTGAATCACATATCTCAGAAATTGATCACGGGTGCGGACACTTGCAAAATCATGCTTGCTCCCAAATTATGTTAAAGTTGCAAGCATATTGTAGTGGTAGTGAACCTCGCGCGAACGATGAATAGCGTGTCATGTGTATTCGGCACTTAGAAGGAATGCTATACAACATACGCGCATAAGCCATTTGTTTTTTGCCGTTTGTTCCATGGTGTCGTTACGGCGTATGCCGATGCGAGGATCGCATCATGCTAATCTCCAACTGCAGGTGGGACTGCAACAATTTGCCCCATGGTAAAATCTCTTATCAATATTTGTGTGCAGAGGCGCTTTCGAGGTAACGTCCTAATTGGAACGGTTGGCATTAACTGATAGCGTGAAGATTGCCGCTGCCACTTTTACTTGCACAGATCTTGAATTCGCTGGAAAATTGCGATTGCAAGTGCGCAACGTGAGGAATTCATTTCCGTCCGCATTCGAATCATGCCTCGTCTAAATTAAGCTCGTCGCCTTGGTACGGGCAGCTATTGCGCCTCAGCCGGTCCCGTGAAGACGTCGGGAGCGTGCGGCCTCTCTGGCCAGGCTCGGCCCTGGACTTGGTCACAGGGTCGGGTGGCTCCCTCGACGGACACCGCCCACACCAGCGGCTGCCGGCGCGTCCCAGGCGCGCCACGGCGGTAGCGAAACCCAGTTGTGCCGTCTTCTGGTGGAAACGGCGCCAACATCGCGCCGCTCATCCCACCATGCCGATGTGCTGACGCCAGCTGATGAAGCGTCACGTCACAGATGGTGCAAGCCGCTCGTGACGCGGTGGGTGGAGGGGGGGGGGGGGGCGGCGGAGACCGCTCGGCCCCCGGCGGGCGGGCGGCGGAGCGAGCCGGCTGGCCGGGCGCTGGAGCGTGGTTTGGCCGGTTCTTATGATCAAATGGTCGGTGACTCGAGATCGTGCATGGTCGCGGTCAGGCGGTCCACGCTACACGCCCGTGCGGGGTCAAGGCGACAAGGGCGACGGCGAGGGATCAGAGGCAACCACTGTGGGCTGCCAGATATCAAGTGATAAGTTGCCATCGGCTCAAATGACCATGGCGCCACTCACGGCGGCTCAATAGAGTGCAACGCGAACAGGCGTCACCAGTGGCCCGGGAGCGCGGTGCCCCACCAGACCAGGTCCCACAGCGGAGAATAACGATGGGACGACATGATGGTGGAAATGATGACCTCGCTCCGGTCTAGGGACCGATGCGGGGCAGGAGGGCCGGCGATGCCATGACAGCCGAGGAAAGACGAGCCCAACGATAGAGGGAAGTCGAATTCGCTAACAGCCGAGAGCAGCCGATACCGCTGACAGCCAAGAACAGCTGATATCGCCCACAGCCGGCAGCAGCCAATTCTGATGACAGCCAGAACAGCCGGTTCCGCTCACTGCCGAGAGGAGCCGATTCTGCTGGCAGCCGAGAGCAGCCGATACCGTTGACAGACAAAAACGGTCGATTTCGCTCACAGCCAAGAACAGTTGATCCCACTGGCAATCGACGGAAGCCGATCCCACTTACAGCCGAGGGAAGTCGAATCCACGGAAAGCCAGGAGCAGTCGATTCCTCTGACAGCCGAGAACAGCCGATTCCGCTGGCAGCTAAGAGCGGCCGACTCCGCTGACAGCTAAGAGAGGACGATTCCGCTGACAGACGAGACCAGCCGATTCCGTCGGCAGCTAAGAGCGGGCGATTCCGCTGACAGACAAGAACAGCCGATTCCGCCGGCAGCTAGGCGCGGCCGATTCCGCTGACAGTCGGGAAGGCTTGGACACGGCAGGAGGGAAGCTGATCTCGCCACGTAACCGTCTGCGGAGCCTAGGTCTCCGGCGGCTCCTGGTCGCCTTCCGACCGAACCTCTAACACGAGAGCCTGGACCCGTATCTCTGTAGTGGCGCGCAGCTCAGAGAGAGACGGAGGTCACGGGGTATCAGGTGCACCTCGATTTCTGACGGCATGTAGCTATAAAGTGTGTGCGTTCTCGCGTGCTTAGGCGTTGTCCAGTGATTTCATCTGTGTTGAGGGCCGCACCCAGGCTTTGGCTGCCGGTGGCAGAGACGTACGCCCGTTGACCCCCGCGGACGTCCGGAGGGCTTTGTTATGTAAGAACACGTCGCGTCGAGTTACCGTCGGCCGAGACGCCCGGCCAGGATGCCCTCGGGGGTCAGCGGGTTCGTGAGTCCGCATGACCCCCAGGCAGCGCGCACCAAAGACTGCTCTGTGCATGAATGTTACAGGAAATTCCGCCACTGGAGAAAATCGTTGCACGAGTAAGGCATTTAAGCGCTGCGCGGCGAAGGATTAGCTGACTGGAGGAAACGCTGGTGGTATTCGCCAGGGAGTCAGTGACCTCTTAATCATACCACTGCGACTGGTTTGCGGAGTACCGTGCGCTGTCCCGACTGGTTTGCGGAGTACCGTGCGCTCTCCGTGTTTCGGGAGCGGCTGATGTGCGACTGTGACGCGAGTTACGACTGTGTCCCGGTCGCGATTCTGTACTCGGCGTACACCTGCGGACCGCCGCGGTGCTCTCCGGCACTGGCTGGAGCGGCCGGCCGTGTCAGCAGCGACTCGGACGCGCGCCCTCGCGCGACAACCGCAAGACAGACAGCTGTCACGCGGTGGTGACGCGACGCGCTGGGGACAGAGCCGCGTCGCACGGATCGGCCGATCGGCGGCGGGTAGTCCCGACCGTGAATCACCTGCCCGGACAGCCACCCGCTGGACTTGGAGGCGCACTCAGCGCGATCGTGAAGCCGACCAGACGTTCTGTTGTGACGTGCGTGGCCGGAAGTCGGACCTTGGTGGCATACGTGATGTGCTGTTTGCGACGCCGTGGTAGTAGTGGTACAAGTCATACATGTTTTTATGGCGCTGTCATTTAGTTCTGAAGATGTTTTAAATGGGGCTGACCGTCACGGTGCAGATTGGACGGATCACGTGTTTTGGATCCCCAAGTCTGCAGGTCTTGCGTGCCTGCACGGACACATCTGCGAGCCGGCCAGTGAGACGACGCCTTGGTAATGAGGATTGGGCCTCATGGAAGGATATCACACGTCAGGGAATTTGGCTACTCAAAATAGATTTGCATGAAGCGTTATTGCGCTGCGCCGTCCAGTGGTTGATTGTGGGCCTCCGGCACGCCGCTGTCAACGGCGATGCCAGATCGTGTCATTCCCATCGTCCTATATCATCCCATGGCCACTCTCCACTCTGGGACCTGGTCTGATAGGGCCCAGCGTTCCCTGGGCCACCGGTGACGCCTCTTCGCGTTGCGTGCTATTGGACCGTCGTGTGTCGCACCATGGCCATGTGAACTGATGGCAACTCACCCCTTGATATCTGGCAGCCAACAGCGGTTGCCTCTGGTCTCTCGCCGCCGCCCTTGTCGCCTTGACCCCGCACGGGCGTGTGCAGTGGACCGCCTGACCGCGACCTGGCACGATCTCGAGTCGCCGACCATTTGATCGAGTTTCGAATATGAACCGGACGAACGGTACTCCCGGGGGTCGTGCCGAACCCGATCTCGCTCGTGACCTGAGTGCGGCGTGCGATTCGGTCCGTTTGTTCCCCGGCGTCGCCGGGACGGCACCTTGGCCGCTCCCCGGTCGCCTGGTGCCAGCGGACTCCTCTCAGAGCAGGGCCGTCTGGGGGTGGAGGAGTTCGCTCCCCCCTATGCCGCCCGAGGCTGGAGTCCCCTTGTGGCTGCGATGTGTAGGGGCGCGCCCGGTCTGTGCGTGAGGAAGGGGGAGTGGAAGGGAGCTCTGCAATTGGAAGGGAACTCTGCGATGGCTGAATGAAGGGGAGTAGAGCCATTCACAAACACATTCCATACCTGATGGGTGAAAGTTAATTGTACTCATACCTCGCTAGATAGGCCTATTAAAATTGAGTGTGAGGTCCGCGTTCCAGGATGTGGCCTCTAAAGCTTAGGAATTGTAGCCGAAAAGAGATTGTCCACGCGTGTTTTGCCCGTGTGGGCTGCGTTTGAGGTTGGATTCATCGTTATCACTGTTTCAAATGTTAAGTAAGTTCGTATGAGTTTTAGTTCCGTTTCACAGAATAACCGCCTTTATTCAGATCAGTTAAAAATTGTCACATTTGTACCCAATGCGGCAGTCTATTATGGCTGATTTTTGATCGAAGAAAGCAACAACAGCGAAGTTTCTGAGGCCCCTACTGGCGTAAGGGGTGTCCACAGTAATTCCAATCACCGCCATAGCTGTGTCCACAATTGTGACCAAACTTCACGCGTGTCTAAAATGAACGCATATTTTTCACTACATCCTACATTACATGATATCGGTTCGTATCACAAGCGGCTGCTAGTCCCAATCGCTCATTTCAGTTTTTGGAACGGGCCCAGGCTGTGAGAATGAGAGTGTCGGAGTTGGCACCCCGGGAGCTGACGCTGACGATGTCCTCTCGAATTCGCTCTGTGCTCGCCCCTGTTCCCGGGTCCTGACAGCCGTCCTGCCAGCCGTCCTGCCCCCGTTCCCGGGTCCTGACAGCCGTCCTCCATCGGTCTGCCCTTGCCCGACGCCGCCAGTTCCGGGAAGGGCGCCAGAGGTTGTCAACAAGGGTCGCGGCCGGGCCGGGCCGGTCGCAGGTGCGCGCCGCGTCCCGCCCCGCCTCCATACCGCACCGCGCCGGTCCCAGTGGCCTCCCGAGCGGCCGTGTGACGTCACGGGCCGGGCGGCTTGGGGAGTCCCAGCGCGGCCGGCCACGGGACGCGCGCCGCCGCGCGGCCGGCCGCCGCAGTCGTCGGTGTGCGCCGTGGGAGGGTGCCGGCGAGTGGGGCGTCGCGGATCGGTCGCTGCCGGCGGGCGCGCTTCGGACGGACCGCGGCGGAGTGGACCGGGTCGGAGGTGAGTTGTGGGTCGTGTCGAGGCAGTGGGCGAGACGAGGAGAGCCAGCGGCTGCTGCAGGTGCCGCTCGCTGGCGTCGGCGTGAAGCCTGGCGCCGCGGAGGGGCGCTGCGTGGGACGGGCGGCCGCTCGGCTGAGCCGCGCGTTCGCCACCCTGACCGGCCTCGAGTCGAGGTCGGGCCGCGCACGCTGACGCTCCGTGGAGCTGGATGTGGCCGTTGATCGGCCCCGTTCTCTGAGCGTGCAGCGATAAAGACAAGCCGTCTCCCTCTGAGCCGTGATAGCCGTGATAGCTGATTGCACTATCGGCGTCACTCTCCCGGGTCATTGGAAGGCGATTGACAAGCTGCTGACGCCGCTGTGGTGGCGGCGTCTGCTGGTGACGCCCATCAAAAACCCCTTGCTCGTTGTTGTTGTAATTTGTTGTCCGTAACTGTTACCATCGTGGCAGCAGACCAGACGAGTCCTGGGCGGTGTAAGGACATAATTCAGACTTGTGCGCCGGACTGGCCTGGCACGACCAGCAGGCTTTCCAGGAGGCTCGCGTCTCTCTGATCCTTGGCCTTCACTGATCGTGGGCTCATGCAGTATGCAGCAACCAGAAGCGTCGTTCCCGAAAAGCTGGGCTGGGCATTTTCTTTATAGCTGGTTGTTGTGACGCGTTTTCTCAAGTTGTCGGAGTACCCCGACGGCTTCGTCTCCCCCCGTTCGGCTGACAAAAAACGAAATGGTTAAGTTCATCAAGAGCTGCTGAAAAGCGGTCGAAACTGTGTCCTGATCTGGGCGATCTGGTGGAGCAGTGGCACGAGACAACATGTTCTGATGGAGGAAAATACCAGCAATGGTATCGGCAAAAGTGTGTGTCGTTGCGTGCCAGCGGTCCCTCTCCCTCGAGCGCCAGGCATAGATATGACCATTTTGGGTGTGTTAATGACAGATGCCAGATCCTGACAACCAATTCAGATGAAGACGTGGCAGGAGCTGCACAGTGTAGACAAATGTACCGGCTACAACCCGTTATCGGACCTCAGAACTATCCGCCGCTCGGATGCGTCTGAAGTACTGCCAACTTTCCCGAAAGCCATGTCGAAGATAAGATGCTCGACCTAAACCGAGAGAGACTGAACCATCCGAAATGTGCCAGCACACGATCCCGTTCATTGTGACCAGCATCGGCGAAATGGCTGTGTTATTCGCGATGCCTTGGTCTCAACCGCCAAAGCCGTGAATCACAGCTGTCGTCGGTCTTGGCCACGGATATCGCTGGAGTTGGTCGCGCTCATAGTCGGACAACTTTCAAGCAATGCTGTGTGCGAATTAGCGCGAATGTTCCGCCAATGGACGTCAGCATCCTGTTGTCCTCTCATGGAAGGCGAACTTTCCAACGATCACACTCATTGATTTAGGTTGCCAAAAGTGTCCGGTTTCATTGGCTTCATTTTTGACGTCATCTGCATGATGACATCCGACAGCTCTCATGTCCGCCAAAGTCCTGCCGGTTTGAAGCCAAGCAAGACGTGTTAGCGGTTGCTAGTGGGCATGCGTGTGACACGCTAATATATATATATATATATATATATATATATATATATATATATATATATACATTTATCTTATGAATAGGTTGCCATAGATAGATTGCTTGCATATACGAATACATATATATGTATGTTCTTGTATGTAAGCAATCATCTTCTTTAAGCATGTATTAAAGACCATTCGATCCAGGAATTCTGGTCGTTAGTAAGCTCTCTGTTGATTCATTGGATGTTTCTAATCAGGTTTTTTGTATCGGGTTGAGTTTTCAAGATTATCTCACCTTCTTTATACATCCACCACTTCACTCATGTTGTAAGGACATAAGTACGCGTATAAGAGGATGTGAAAAGTTGTACGCCTTCCATGTGAGTAATGCAGACGATTCAGTTGTTACATTTCAACAGGACACACACAAAATGGTGATTTGAAAGATCGAACGAATTTGCGAAGAGCTCTCCAAAGCCCAAAACTCTTTGGTCTTAAACGCTAGCTAGTGTCTTTGTCAAATTCAAAGTTGTGCAACAATGAGAAGTTGGTGACTGTTGTCCCCCCATTTTAACCGTAAATCTTAAATTTCTGCACCAGTGGTCGTGAGGTGGAGGTAGCTTACGGCTTACATGGGTGACAAGAGTTCAGAGCAGTTGCTTGGTGTTCCCCAAACCAACCGCCCAAGCTGCGCCAATCCAGCTCATCGAAAAATGTTGCCCTTTGTGTACTACAACAGGCCGGTCTGGACAATACTGACCCTGTTTGACCTGGGCCGCCCGGACCGGACCCCGCTTGACCCGACTGACCTTTCCACGTCGGTCAGGCTTCCGGTCGCGCTCGCTCCGGGCTAGCACCCAGTGCCGCTCTGCAGGCCGCCGTGCCGTATCACCAGCCGGGCATGGCACCCACGCACCGCGATTGCCTCAGTTGCTACCCGCTCTCTTGTTGCAGAGTAAGCCACCATCTTGGCTTGTTGTCTTTGAATGTTCCGGCTCCTCACCACCCTTTTCAATGCATTGCTTTATTTTTTATTCAGCCTCAATAAAGCACGGCTCCTGAGCGCGGACCCGACATAACACCGGCCCGAGGATGCTTCCTTAGCCTCCTTGGAGCGGGCCTCACGCCGGCTGTCACCTCCCCATCCCCCTCGGCGGATGCGCGCGTGGTTACGCGACATTTGATCGCTGTCATTCAGCCAGGCGCTCCGTTCATCTGGTGGAGTGCGCATGGCGTCGCGTGCAGCGCGGGGTGAGCGGCTCGAGTTTGCGGCTCGGCAAACCGAGCCAGGCAAAGCCATAGAGGGGCTGCCTCGTGGCATTGCATGTGTGGCGCGAACAGATCCTTCAGCTGTCAGGTGGGGCTGAAAGATTGTAAAGGGGAATTATCTGTGAGACTAGAATGCCGCGACCTGAATAGCAGGTGCGTGGTGTAAATGCATGCGGTGGCGTAGCCCGCATTTCGCCCGGGGAGTGGGGTAATTCGAGCCCTGTAAGCCAAGAGGTCTTTTTTGTCCACTTCGTTGTCGTAGGGCACGATTCTTTGTTAATGTGTGCGTCAGACGTTTATGGGCTGAGGTTCCCTTTCGATGCACCGAGGGCCTGCTCTTGATGTTTTATTTGCCCCGTGGGCGTCCTAATTTGCCAAAATGTACAAGCAATGAAGCTTTCCGCTCCCCCCGCCCCCGGCGGCTGCCTTCGCCGCCAACACGAGACAGACTTAGGCCAATGTCATTGCGCTAACCGTTTCTATTTTTGTTCACGGTGCAGCTGGCGACTTCTTTGCACAAGCCGTGGCGTGCTCTTTGCAATTGGGATGGTGCAAAGCTCTAAGGAACGAGTGGATATTAAATATTTACGTTTCGAAATTTCAGTCCGGTTCTTTAGAGTTGAGCTATTTAAACATTAAACGCATCCCAGCTCGGAGGGCATCGCATTGTCTCTGACGCACGTTGCCGTGCCGTTGCGCAAGCCCGCAGCTGTGTCCCTGCCGAGACGGGCCGTCAGAAGGCTGTCGCCATTGCGCCCTGGTTGCCGTGACGACGGCCCGTGTGCGGCCCCAGGGATCCGCTCATCTGGCGAGGCGGAGTCGATGGTACGGCGTCGGGTCGGACGGCCCTGCAACTCGGGTGGGGCCCCGGAGGGCCCCTGGACGGCCGCTACCAGCCGTCTCCGGGCGCCCCGGCCCTGGGCAGGGAGCCCCCGGCCCGCCCCGGCCCGGTAGGACACGCCGGCTGTCCGGACCAGGAGGATGACACTGCGATGTGGGGACCACGAGTGTGAAGATCTTTCACGCGTGCTGGTGGTATGAGAGTAATAGGTGTTCGTTGGCTACCTCGAGATGACGCAACTGGGACACACTTGTGCACACCGCTGTCTGGGCGCCGGCCTCCCCGGGGACCGTGTGGCTGTTCCGTCTCCCGGCACTTGAGAATACTCCTCGGAAGGGCTTAAGGAAGGTTCGGGCTGGCGATTTCAATCGGTGAAAGGCCGGGGAGTGAGGTCTAGATCCGCACCGGTCAGGCGTGGTGCTTTGATTGTCCGAGCGTGTGCAGTGCCTCGCGCTCATCCGAGCAGGCCGTCATAGACGTTATCGCGGACTTCTCAACCATCGGTGGACGTGGTTCAGGACTTCTGCGCTGCCGAGCGCGGGCTTTATGTTGATCTGGATAAGCGAGGGTGGTGCTGTAAAAATGGCTTTGATGGCTGTTTTATGACGGGGCTTTGCAGTTTGCCGTACCTAACGGAGGCAAATGAAAGGCATAGGATGGGAGGAAGGGAGTGTATGCCGTGGGCCCATCGACCCTCCATATGCCGGAAGAGCATTTGGAGCATGAATAAACCCATCACAAATTATGCATATATATATATATATATATATATATATATATATATATATGTGTGTGTGTGTGTGTGTGTGTGTATGTGACCGAACACTGGTGGTACCCAAGCCCAAATGGAGGTTAGCATTGCTGTCATCACCAACTGCAGTACAGTTTGCCAGTGTTCCTCAGCGGATGTTTTTCTCGTCACGACTTGGGTCTGTGCGTGAGCCGAGCTCGTGCCCAGTCAAATCCTCCCAGTGGTCGCAGCAGCTCGTAACTGCCTCTGCTGATCAACCATTACGCGCCTCGGTATTTGATGTGGTTTGGACAGCGCTGGTGAAAGAGGTGCCCGCCATGGCCAATATGCGTTCATCTGCCGTCAAGTGGAGTGTGCGTCGTCCTCCTGGAGCGGTCTGCCTCATTTGTAGCTTCTGATCTTGATAGCATGAATGTTCTCCCTCATTACGCGTGCCTGTGCTCGTGCTCTCCGTGTTTGCATGCACCAGAAGTGCTTCTCTGAAACTGCATGTATATTTAGCGCTTTGTTTCACGCTTGCTGTGCTTTTGTGACAGGCGTAACGTTACTAAGCTTCAGTTTATTTGAGACCACGACCTATTCATCCTTGCGCGATGTTTGTCGGAGAACACTCGCTTTGTTCCTTTCAGCGCTGCACTTGGTAGGCTGTGCTGCCACGGCGTACTGCTGCGAAACTTCCATTGTCCGTGGTAGTTACCCCCGCCGCTGTGCCCTACGCGGCTGTCGCGTTTCCGATCGCTGTATTCCCCTTACAGTAATTTCACCGGGGCGGTCGGCGTCGAAGCCTCAGCCTTTGTGTTTTCGTGCGCTGTGTTGTCGCTGCGGTGCAGCCGTTCAGAATTCCTGTTCGTTCTTGTGTGTGGTGGCATTGGTATCTCTTGCAGCCGAGTGCTTGTGACTCGGGGTGCAGCGAATGTATGGCCCATGACTCGACCATCGCTGGTACTGACACAGCCACAGTGTTGTGCTGATGTGTATCGCCCACTACCACTACCGAGCCGTGTCATCAGCGGAGCGCCGGCCACCTGTTGGCGCGGCGTGCGCTGCTGAGGCCCGGAGTCCAACGCCCGAGTCCGTGCCCTGACACTGCGTGTCGCCCTGTGCCGCAGGCATGAGGCCCCGGACGGCCGCGGCGGGGGCGCTGGCCTACCCGCCGCCGGTGCTGCTGGTGCTGGCGCTGGTGCTGGTCGGCGCGGATCGCGGCGCAGCGCTGAGCTGTCTGCAGGAGGGCGACGCAGGCAGTGAGTAACGCGGTGAATGGGCCCACCGGACTGAAACGCCCTGAACGAAACGCGCAGCACTGGACGCGCTGAGCTCGACGCGCTAGACTGAACGCATGGGACTCAACACATGGGACTGAATATACTGAACTGAACACACAGGGTCACACACACGGGACTGAACACATGGGGCTGAACGCAACGAAGTAAACACACGAAACTGAATATGCTGAACCAAAGTTACTGAACAGAACATCGATCCGAATACGATTTGACCGGACAGCGTCAGGCTCTGCGCCGAGTCGTACGGTCTTTGGCTCATTCATTACCTCACGCATTCACAACCCGAGCATTGCAACTGCGGTTGGTGATTAGCAGTTTGTGGCACTTGCTGTTGTTTGGCCCGGCTAGAAAGCAGACCAAACGGATTCGAGCCAGACTTTAAATGGCTGTTGTAGCGTAGCTCGGCTCGCCGGTGCTCGGGCATACAGTCGTAGCATTCATCCGCAACAGCCCAGATGGAAGCCAGCTTCAGTACACGGCTAAGAACATGTTTTGCTCAGAACAGCGGAGCTCGATCTCCGTATGTTTGGTGTGCAGACATAGTTCCATAGTTACGCGATGTGTTATTGCTGGTTGCTCGTCGGAGACTCGTGACAACAAAAAAAAAACGAGTATCGACATGAAACTAGCTGGTCAGACAAAACGACAGTCGATCGACAATTTTGTTATTGAAATGTTGAGAATTCGAAGAATGCACACCCATTTATGTAAACCTTCCGCATGAGGCAATCACAAAATCCGTCCACGACAGCGTCACCGTGGCTGTATGACCGTACAGTCGATGCGTCTTAAAGCCGTGTCTTTGTGGCCTTCTCGGCATCACACGTTGCAAGAGTAACCCTTGAGCTCATCCAGTCCGAACCTCACGCTAGGAGCAGCACCAGCTCTAAACACCCCTGCTGAGTATGCTCAGTACCCGAGCAGTGTACCAAGATTCTGGCTAGACGTTTCTTTCAGTATGTTTTGCATGGTGCGTTAGTCAGATGTAGAGACGCAGTGAGCCGTATGCCTACCAACTTCTCGCTTTGGCTTTACGGATCTCCACCGACCTCAAGATGGATCAGCCCGACTTCCGATGCTTCACTGTTCATAGACACGCATTCCCAAAGGTACACCCATGATGCTGTGTCGTACTGCAGCCTGTGGTCGTAGTCATCACATGATCCGTGCGCTGCTAAAGGTCAGATATGTGAGGCGGATGGAATGTCAGGTGTCTGCTCCTGGGCCAGGCTTAGGCCATGTCAGGTGTGCTCCTTGGCTTAGGATCACATCCTTGATGAATTTGGCTAAGCCGAGACGGCAGTCTAATGACCTGCCTTTGTCCAGATGGTGCAGGAGATTATGTAACACCTTTTCTTGTGACTTATTTGCTCTTTGACGTCTCGAAACGCGAGGTGTAGTTGTTTCACTTTTCACAAACGACGTGTTGCCAATGCACCCAGCCAATCTTCCACGTATTTCCATGGAATCCATGGTACTGGTCTACAAAGCCCTCGCACGCCTTTAATTGATCAGCATCTAGGGATTGACCACATCCCCGGGTTGAGGACCTGGTCTCTTGCGTGTACTCCCCATCGCGTCACGACGCTTCGCGCCGCTGTTCCACGCTTGACCGGGCCTTGTGGCGACATCGGCCACGATATCACGACAATGCTCTCGTGCGACGTCTCCATTCCGTGCAGGCCGTGGGCGAGCGAACGAGTACAATAAACGTCATCTGTCCGCAGATAACGCAATCGTGTGATCTTGCAGAGGAGCGCCGGTCCTATTTTGCCGTTCGCACGGCGTCCATTGAAGCGACCGCTTAAATCTCGTACCCAGCGTCGCCGCACGGACCATCGACTCCGCTGCCAGTAACGATCGCCTCTGCTGCCGGGCCCGGCCCTGTGCCAGGCCGCCCTGGAGCTGGCCACCGCCGGTCACAGTCCGCGCTGCGATCGGCCGGGGCGGGTCTGGCCGCCACGGGGAGGGGCCGCGAGGGCTCAGTGGCCGTCGGAGGGTGGGCGGTCACAGCGGGCGGGCGGCGCCGGCCGGCCGCCGTCGCACGCGTCGGTCGCCGCGGGATGGGGGTGGGGGGACGGGCGCTTCCCGGGATCGGCCGCGCTGGGGCTGTCCGCGCCCGTCCTGGACCCGATCACAGGACACGGCTGGACGGGTCGAGGTCGTGCCGCCCTTGGGCGACCTCCGCGTGCCGACGGGCCGGACGCGGCCGGACGCGTCCCTGCGCTCGCCATGCTCGCCGTGCCGCAGTCGAGCCTTTCGGCGCGCGGACGCGACGGAGCTGCCGACGCGCGCCGCCGAGCGCCGCCGTCGTGCGCTCCTCTGCCATTGTCCGGCGGGATCGCGCGCGCCCGGCCGCGATCGGGCCCACTTCCCGGAACGGTGCACCTCTGCTTGCAGGCTGCAGCCGCGCCGCGGTATGTGGACGCTGTCGCTCCGCCGTCCCAGTCGGCTTGGCCGCACGCCGCCGCCGAGCCCATGAGATTCGCGCTTCTCAGGAAGCGGGCTGGCTAATCCGCAGGCGTCGGTGACGCTTCCGCGTTCAGGGCATCCGTCCGGTCGTCGCGCGGCGCCGCGCGACGACCCGTATCGAATCAGCCTCGTACGAATTGCTGGAACTATTTCTGGCGACCCTTAGCCTTGATGGCGGTGCAAATTAGACCGGCGCGGGCATTGCTTATTAGTTTTGGGGTGGCGGCGGCACGGCCGGCGGCGTGGCCGATTTCGACGGAATGCACGACCTGCAGTGTGTCGGCGCCGTATCCAAACAGTCGTCCATCTGCTGCGCGGGTGGCGACGCCATGTCGGGCGCCAGTGGCGGGGGGCAGGGGCCCCGGGCGGCGCGCCGGGGTCCGGCCGGAGCTCAATGCAGAGCCAGCCCCGACGCCTGGAGCCTCGCCGGGCCGGTGGCCGCGTCGTGGGGCGGCCCCGGGAATGTTGTTCTGGCGCGCGGCGCGGCGGCAGCGCAACCTGCCCTCCGAGCTGCGTCATTGGCTAGTGACCTGCCGTGCCCCCGGGGCGGGCCTGACCCTTGGCCGGTAACGTGCCCGGCCGTGCTTTTGGGTGCAGACTGGCCCCAGGGCGCCGAGCCGGCCTCGCCCGGCCTTGGCCGGTAACGGACCAGGCCGTGCTTTTGGGTGCAGACTGGCCCCAGGGCGCTGAGCCGACCTCGTCCGACCTGGGCCGGCGCTTCGAAATACGCCCGGCCGTTGGTTGCCCGCTCCCGCCCCCCACCTCCACCCCCGCCGGCCGTCGGCCGGGCGGGAGGCGCCGGCGGGGGCGCGGTCTGTCGCGTCTGCAGCCTCCGTGCCCCTCGACCCGGCTGCAGGGCGGCCGTGTAAACAGGCCGGCGGGCGCGCATGGCCTCCTCCGTGGCATGCTCGCGGACGCCCTGCAGGCCCCTCTCTCGTGTCAACAGCACGGCGCTGCACGGTTGCGACACCGCGCCGAACTGCTCCAGCGGGTCACGCCCTGATACGGCCGGCCGGCTCGTCTGGGGCGGGCGGCCTCCCATCCCCCCCCCCCGCGTCCGATGGGGCCGCCCGCTCGCTCCTCGCCACTGGAGAAAGTGGCAGCTCTGCCGGCCCGGCTCGAGCTGTGCCTTCGGGGAATCGTCATTGAAGTATGTGTGTTATCCGATGTTGTGTTTCTGGTGACCCCCGTTTCGCTATCCTGGTGGCTCAGGAGAAGTACGAGAAAATCATCCCCACCTGCTTTTTGCTGTGTGGAGGGGAGGGAGGCGGCGCCTTCTCGCTACGATGAGTCGGCAGTCTGTCGGGCGGCGCGCCAGCGTAGGGGTAGAGCCGCCGGTGCTCAAGGCTCAAGTATCAGCCCGTTCGCACCGCGCCGCCCTGGAGCGAGACGCCGGGGGTGGCTGCGGTGAGCCGCAGAGGGCTCGTCCACGATGTCTGACACTGCACCAGACTACGTCGACGGCGGCCCGGCACCAAAACAGACGGCCGTGGACTCGTGCCAAGGTATGCTGGCCGCCATGACTCGGTGAGTCATCGCGATGTGGATCGGTGCATCTGGGTAAGATGAGTGGCTTCCAGCAGACCCGCCGCCGAGCAGGACGGCTCTGGAAGCCGTTGCCCAGCACAAGGCTGGCGCTCAAGTCTGCCTGCCGCCCAGTGACGTCCGACCGACGCCGAGCCCCGGTGAAGGACCGATGATGCCGCGCCCAGGCGACCGCACGCTTCCTCGTTGCCCCGGCTGACCATCAGCTGGGCGCTGGCTGATGCGCCGGCCCGGTGGCGGTCCGGTCAGACGAGACGGTGCGACCGCACCGCCCGCCGCGGCCGGCATGACACCCACCGTCGCCTGTTGTCAGCCCGGACACAGCCGCATGGCTCATTATCTCCTTTCCGGATAACAGGCCACAAGTCTCCGTTTTTGTCGGCGGCGACATCACCGCTGCCGGGAAGCTGGCTGTTTTGATCGCTTCCCGTTACCGGTCGACGCCCAAGGTCACGCCGGATCGGCGCCCCTCAAATCCGCGCTCGCTCTTGAACCCCGCCGCACCTGACACGTTGGCCGGCACGTCCGGACCGGCCCGGCGCCGTTATCTGCCGATCGCGGCCGTGTGGGGCGGCCCAGGCGCCGCGCTCGCGTTCATCAGGCGCCGTGAGCCCCGACACGACCGCCCCACCCCCGACCTCACCCCAGAGGCCCACCGCACCGCGCCGCGACCGCCGCCATCACGGCCGGCGGCCGCTCGTGACCGCCTGACGAGCCGTCGCTGGCCGTGACCCTGCCCGCGGGCGGCGACGGGCCCGGGGCGCTGCGGTTGGCGGTCCTGCTGGTGGCGGCGGCGTACCGGCTGTCGCGCAGCTTGTCCACCGTTGTCCGCCGTTGTCCTCCAGTGTCCGCCAGTGTCCGCCGTTGTCCGCCGTTACCCGCGGCCCGGCTGGGTCGGGGCGTGCTGACCCGGTCCGGTATTGGCCATCGAAGCTGCGGCC